GGGCCAGGCTCTTAGTGGCAACCAGGGGTGGATGCCCCAGGCAGCAGGTCTGGCAGAGTTGCCCCCCCCTGCTCAGTGGATCCTGCAGCCAGGCCTGGCTGGAGCATGTGAGGGGGGGTCCCATAGCCCATGGGCACAGTTCACACCCCCACTGGGCAACCAGGAATTCCCAGGATGACAGGAGAGGGAACACAGGCAAAGGGATGTCATACCAGCCTTCCCGGGGAGGTGACGTTCCTGGGGCTGCAATCTGTGAAGGATGACAGAGAAGCACTTGTTAGGAATGGCTGCATCATGGAGTCATGGAATGGTTGGGTTGGAGGGACCTCAAAGCCCACCCAGTGCCCCCCTGCATGGGCAGGGACACCTCCCAGCAGCCCAGGCTGCTCCAAGCCCCATCCAACCTGCCCTTCAACACCCCCAGGGATGGGGCAGCCACAGCTTCCCTGGGCAACCTGGGCCAGGGGCTCCCCACCCTCACAGCCCAGAATTGCTCCTTTGGGTCCAAGATGTGTGGACACACAGTGGTGTGAGGGGCACCTTCAGTCAGGTCCTGTGGATCATGGCTCTGCCCAACCTGGCCTGGAATGTTTCCATGGATGGGACCATGTGGCATAAATTTGTGCCAGGGGAGGTTGAGGTTGGATCTGGGGAACAATTCCTGCCTGGCAAGGGTTGTCAGGGCCTGGCCCAGGCTGCCCAGGGCAGGGGGGGAGTCCCCATCCCTGGGGGGGTTTCCAAGCCCTGGAGATGGTGCTGAGGGACACGGGGCAGGGGTGGCCTTGGCAGGGCTGGGGAATGGGTGGGTTTGATGATCTCAGAGGTCCTTTCCAACCCAACCCCTTCCATGGTTGACACTCCAGATCCCTTCTGTGTTCCCTGGAGCAGCAGGTCAGGGTCCAAGGGAGCACTGGGGACCAGCACCCATGTTCTGCCAGCCCTTCAGCTCCCTGTCAGAGGTGACAACCACGGTGGTCCCCATCTCAGTGCCACCCTGCAGCAGATGACACCACCATCTCAGAAGTAGCTGAGAAGTTTCTAACCCAGCTTGGCTGCTCCACCAGCCTCTGCTTCCCCCGCCCCGCGCTGTCGCCAACCTGCTCTGCCTGCCCTTGCTTTGCAGGGGTTTGGGGGTGGGTTTCTGATGCCCATAATGATTCTGCCAGCCTGGAATGTCACCTTTCCTTCCTGGAAGTGCCCGATGGAGCCTTCTGATCCCACTGTCCTCTTCTCTTTGTCTTTTTCAGCTTGACTCGCACTGCGCAGATGTCCGAGGTCACTCGTCTTTGCCCCAGTTCTTCCTCCTCCTCACTGCACTGCAGAGCACAGCAAGGGTTAGCATTCCCAGAGCTGCTTTTCCCAACCATTCCCACCCAGGCCAGGGCACCTTTCCCCACTCTAGAGGTGCTGTGTCCACCAGGAAAAGGCAAAAAACGTGGGCACCCGGGAGCAAACTTGTTGGCCAACTCAACCCAACAACTAAAACCATGGAGCAGCCAAGGTCAGAAGCTGCAGGTGGTCCTGGGAAGGGAGGGAAGTGTCTGCTCTGCTGTTGTCCACGTTGTACCTGGGCTGGATGAATGGGAAGTCCAGCCCTGGGAGGTGCTGGGTTGGTGTCTCCTGCCAGCACCAAGTCCTGAGGAGCAGAGGGTTGTGTTGGGAGCTGGGGCTGGTGGGAGGTTCCTGATGGGTCCTCTGGTTTTATGGGGACAGAGCAATGAACCTTCCTGCTGCAAACCTGACTGTGCACCAAGGGGCTGCTCTCCTGAAGCTGCTCCCTGGGGAAAAACATCCCCAGAGTGGGACAGAATCCATCTGGGCCATGATCCTGCCTCCCACAGGAGGAAGAGCTGCCCTAAGGTCCTTCGGTACCTGGAGGTCGTGGGCAGGATAATGGAGAAGATAAATCAAAGAACCATGGAATGGGTTGGGTTGGAGGGACCTCAAAGCCCACCCAGTGACCCCCCTGCATGGGCAGGGACACCTCCCAGCAGCCCAGGCTGCTCCAAGCCCCATCCAACCTGCCCTTCAACACCCCCAGGGATGGGGCAGCCACAGCTTCCCTGGGCAACCTGGGCCAGGGGCTCCCCACCCTCACAGCCCAGAATTTCTCCCTCCCATCTCAGCTCCAGCTCCCTCTGCCAGCTGGAAACCCTTCCCCCTGCTCCCATCCCTCCCTGCCCTTGTCCCAAGCCCCTCCCCAGCTTTCCTGGAGCCCCTTCAGGC